CCGCTTTTTCATTTGCCTCTATATTGTTTTTTTTATTTTGTTTAAGGATTTTTAGGGTGTTCAGGGCTTTCTCGCATGGACTCTTTGTATTAAATGGTCCAATGTATCGGTTTATTACTGCCCTTTTTCGTCATTGCTCTATATTGTAGAATTTCCTTTGTTTATGATGTTTATTTATGACGAAATAAATATTTTGAATTTGAATTTGAATAGCTAAAAATGCATAACTATTTAGCAGGCCAACTGTTCCCGTGGACATAAGAGTACCACGTATTTTTAGACTCAAAGTAAGTCGACCGGACATGATTTACTTCTATGCAGAACGAGATGGTCATTGAATAGGGGCGTCTTGGCCTCTACCGTTCCATCTACCATCATATTTCTCGTTCAGGTAATTTCTCACAGCACGCCCAAAGTGAGATGGAGGACCCTCATGCATAGAAAACATGTCTTTACATACATTCAGATTCAGTTCTTCTAATAATCTACCACATAACGCACACATTTCCGCCAACGAGATACCTGCTAGGAATGCTATTTTTTTATCTCTACGACTATGCGAGATGGCCTATTTTTATAAGAGACAAAAATGAGGTAAATAGAAACGTCTATTAAATAAAGTTGTGGAGGCCGGGTGAGGGTAGATGTCACCCTTTTTGAACCCTTCTGGCTTTTTTGTAACAGTCAAATATTAGGACGTCTAGAAACACTTATTGCGTTCCAAATTTCGTTCAAATCAGGCTTGAAAAATATCTGAGATGTGTTTCAAAAATGAAACCTAGACGTCCTCTAACGGACAAACAAAGCATTAAGATAAATCATGTCCAATCAAGTTATTTTGATTCTAAAAATACGTGGTCCTTCTATGTCCATGGAATATTGGGACACCTTGTGTATGTCTATAATTCTTAGTGGCGAAACTTGGTCCTGAGGAGCATCACAAAAAAATTTATTGAGGGACCCCACCTAATTGTGGCGAGTCCCAAATGGAGGGCGAAATTCGAGACAATGATTTTCCCCAAAGGAAATTAAAATCCTCGAGTCGAATAATATGAATAGTCAGGTAGAGACTGAGTATCGTTTTTCACTTTGTTTTTCTTTTATAAGAAAATGAAATATATTGTTTGTACATTATATTAACAAAACCAATTTTAAGTAATATGATATTGAAATATAAAATCGGGCTAATATTGACAACAATTCAACATTTTGCTGACACGATATTAAAAAGAAAATAATAGGAGAAACAAAAAAGTATTTACAATTTGACGTTTTGATCTAAGAAAAAATTCTGTGAATCAATTTTCTTTAAAATGTCGCATGGTAAAGCAACAAACGGTGCAATCAGAGTTTTAATCATAAAGTTGTTCAACCAAGCAATTACTTGATAATAACTTTGTTGATATAATGTAGTTCAATCTCTTATAAAAGAAAAAAAATATTTAGTAACCTTAAAAAAACTAACTTTAAGATAAAATTAGATAATATCCGAACTATTGTGTGTTAGGACTCCTATACCTAGGCATCATACTTATTCCATAGCTGATGCTACTGAGTTTATGTGTGGAGTCCAAGACAGACGTTCATCTAGATGTACTTCTAACACTTTAGTTTGCTGACTTAGATTTTAGTATAAAAAAGTGTGATATTTTGTGCTATATCAGTCTGTGATTACTTTGTTCTAAATAATGTTAAATAAAGTATACAGCGATACTGTGTAGACAGAATATGTTCAACAAAGATTAAATGCCACCGAAAATTCTGCGTTACTGTGCATTGGAAATATATTGCTTTGATACGTACATGTATGATGATTTGCTGTATTTCTAATATTGATGCCCAACGCGTTATACAGGGTGGCGCATCGAAAACGAAACAGACGCATTTACTGGCAGCTCAGTTTTTTTTTTTGGAAAAACGCTCAGACAATTTTGTTTTCGAGGCGGACACAAGTTTGGCAAAAAATCACGTTAGCACGTGCAGCCTCCTAAGCGGGGGTGACACCACCCCCAAAATCTTAAATAGAAAGGGGGTCGAGTGATACCTTATTTTAAAAGTCTTTCAATTCCCTTTATAGTGATATAAAATTAATGTACTTCAGTTCAGTAGTTTTGAAGATTTATTGATTTAACGCTTAAATAAAACTAATACATCATCATTAGTGGAGATCAATACATTTGGCAGCAAAGTAATTTAAAAATGAAGAATGAACTGACCTGTTAGGCAAGTAAATGTTGAAAATGGCCACCATGACCCTCCATGCAATAATAAAGATTTTGCTCAAAATGTTGCCGCACATTTAGCAATATTTGATGAGTAATTTGAAGGCACTCATTCACAATTCTTTGTCGCAGGTCTTCTAATGATGTTGGCTGAGTAGCATAGATTTTGCTTTTTAAATGACCCCACATGCGATGCGCCACCCTGTTTGTAATATTTCGCGGCGTTACATTACCAAGAGCGCTAAAACATGTTGTGCGATGTTTTGATATGGATAATGTATCCGTTATATTTTAACATTGAATGCTTGTTTTGAATATTAGCTTGTCCCATAAACGTAGTGGTGAATGAGTAGTTATAAAAATTTTTACAAATGACAAAAATAAATATTCCAACAGGTTATTTATTTTGGACAACTCTAAATCTTCGTCATAAACGAGAATATGGCTTATAAAAGAACTAGATGCTACAAGGTACAATAAAAGTTTTGCAATATGATTTAACAAATGGACGCAAGAGGCTGCATCTTACTGCTTGTTGAGACATGTCCATGAGTGCATAGTAGCCACCAGCAGCACGTCTGTTGATTCAGTTGTTCGTATTGACAGTGTAAAGTGCGGTCTATGGCATCCTGGTCACGTAGTGAGATAAGGGCAGTTTTACGGTATAACTTAACGCGTGGTTTAAGCATAGACAAATACTTAGAAGAAATAACGCTTCCATTAAAGAATGATTCTCCTGATCGTACGACTATATTCAGGTGGTACAGAGGATTCCAAAGGGCGAATTTGTATGACAGGAACATTAGTTTTAAAAAACTTTTAAAGAACACGGAATTCTAACACTATAATCAATTTACATATTAAAATGTGTAACATCTGTTAAAAGCAACCTTGACGGTTTTACCTTCCTTGGAAGTGATCACAACTATACAACACGCAGTACGCTTTGAATGGTTTCTTGGATTTAAAACTACAGCATATGAAAGATCTGTATTTTACAAGTGCATTCATCTATTCAAGAATTTACCAAAATATCTCCAGATAGTTATATAACTTGCTGCCTGATGAAATAGAAATAAATATATTTGTTACTATAATTAAAAAAAAAAAATAAAAAAATCTTAATTGAAAAGGAACAAGAACAAGTTCACAGAGTTATAGAAAATAGGTATAATATTACATTTACATTAAGTGTGTCATGTTGATATTTAAAAATGGAATCTGTTACCGATTTTATTATATATAATACGAGTATAAATCTTTTACTCCTCTATTATGGTTTTTTTATTGATAAAGTTTGTACTTTTAAAAAGGTATAAATGTTTTAGCAAATTATTAAACCGTTATTTAGGTAATACTTTTATATTTCTGTTTTTTAGATGTAGGCTGTTAAAATTGAAAAAAAATGTTATCGCCTTGTATATTCTAATAGATTTAATCATCATATTTTATAAATATTCAAAGTCATGTAGTTAATAATTTGCTATCAGGGCAATGATATGTTGAAAGCGTACGACCTCAATGGGTATATTCCCTCGCGCACAAACATTTGCTTCTTGTGGCTTTTTTCTTCAATAAACATTATTATTATCTAAGGAATATCACAAATTATAATGAGCTTATGCGCAAAGTAAAACAATTGCTATGCCAGAACTGTACAAGAATTTTTATCTTACACATTTTACATTGACATTATCATGTGTAGGTTTTACTTCTTTTTTTTATATTTGTAACTTTAAATATTACTCATTTTTTTTTTCTTCTTTGACTTGCCAGTTGTATTAATCTGCTGAACTATAATCTATCTATTTACTACTATTATCACTACTTACCGAAAAAACAACAAGCACGATCTAACACACCATTACCGCCAAAGTCAACAATTAGCGTCGGGAAAACTACCAAACTTTTCAAGAACGCGCGGCAACGGCACAATTCGAAAAAGCGCGCCTGGGATAGACGCCAAGCGTCGCGACGTCAAGACCGTTGAAGGGATCGACGTCGACTGGAATGAGCGGGATACGCGTCGCGACGGTGTTGCGAAACGGCGTCGCTCAGTGGGCTGTGCAAGAGTTGAATTTCGGCGAAAAGCGACCTACCCTATAGGAGCGAAGGGTCAAACTATGCAATAACAGGTCCGTGATGGTGTCTCCCTTAGAAGATTAGTTAGCAGTTTGGATTGGTATTAGGCGCTAGGCTGCTAAACAAATATGAAAGGAGTCTATCACGTATATTTTCTGAGAGAATCACAGGAGACTAATTGAAACAGCGGAAGAGGTGGGAACGTGAAGAAAGTATGAAACTCTATACTGCGTAAAAAGCTGTACATTTCAGCTACTGTCTTTTTTGAATTCTGACGCCAATACAATGAATAGTTAGTAGTTTTGTTCTTTTAGATTTAGTTTTTTCTGAAGGAGAAAAGTTTCAGCTTCCAGGACATTCTGGATAAACGTTATATAAATACATGGCAGATTGAAACGAAATCCGTAACCCCAAAGACCTAGGGAAACACTCTGGTGACCAAGATCTGGCATTTTTGCATACCCTGGGATTGAGTTATCAGTAAATTCGACTTATTATCGCTGATAGATATCAATCAAGTCATCATCTCACTTTTTACAAAAATAATTGGAACCAAAATCCTCACAAATCGACTCTTATGCTTTGTGCATGTATCATATGCAAAGATCAAAAAATTCTTTTCTATTGGCCCTGTCGTAAGTAAGTTAATGTAAGACTCTAACAGGGAATATAGAGGATAATACGTTGAGCAACTACCATGAGCTGTGTTTCCATATGAGCGAACAGTTACGTTTTCGACATTTCCATAGTGACATTCAACCCGAAAATAAGTAAGTGGAGAACAAGATGAGCGCCTCCACCAAGATTTAAATATACTAAGTGACATATAAATTCGAACACCCAGTTTAAATGGTTTTATTTTAATAAAAGTTGGTGAATGTATTTATCTTACTGTAAATAACAAGTGAAAAAAGTTTCAGCCTTATCAGTTGGACATTCCGGTTTTTATACTGCTTTTTTTTAATTCACTAATGCTCTAAAAATGAATATTTCAGCCGCAGTAAAGAATCAACGTTGGCGGATTTTGGTTCTTGACTTCCTTTACGATCGGTTACGATGCCTAGAGTACGGAGACCTGTACGATTTCGTCAACTTAGTGAGTTTGATAGGGGCCGTATAGTGGGACTTCGGGAAGCTGGACTTTCTTTTCGGGCAATTGCAGTTACAGTGCAAAGAAGTGTAGACACTGTGGTTAGGTGTTGTCAGGCGCCTGGCTTCGAGAAGGCCGTACGCAAAGAGCAAGGGGCACTGGACGCCGCCGTAGAACAACAGACCGTGAAGATCGCCGCCTAAGATTATTGGCCTTAAGGGACCGTTTCTCCACTACCAGGTCCATTGCAAATGAATGGTTTGCAGAACACGGAAGGCCTATTGGCATGCGAAGTGTTTACCGACGAATGAGAAGTTTTGGCTTGTTTTCATACCGGCCACACTGGGTCCTCCCTTTAACTCGAGAACACCGACGTAATCGCCTTGAGTGGTGCAGACAACGGTCACTCTGGGGTCAGGAATGGAACAGTATTGTCTTTAGTGATGAGTCTCGATTTTATTTAGGCATGCACGATGGTCGTGTCAGGGTTAGAAGGCGACGTGGTGAAAGGAGGAATCCACAGTTTTTTGTTGAAAGACATGTTCATCACACTGTTGGAGTTATGGTTCGGGGTGCTAAAGCTTATGGTTCCAGGTCACCTTTAATCTTCATCAGAGGTAACATAAACGCGCAGCGTTATATCCACGAAGTTCTAGAACCCATCTTTTACCCTATCTTGACACCCCGGCAGATCCAACTTTCCAACAAGATAATGCCCGACCACATGTTGCAGAGTCACAATAGACTTCTTTCAACATAATGATGCCACATTGTTACCATGGCCACCAAGATCTCCCGACTTATCCCCAGTTGAGCACGTGTGGGATATGATGGGTAGGAGATTGCTCAATTTGCAACGTCCTCCTCAGACTCTAGAAGCACTTCGAGAGGAGTTGGTGGTTGCCTGGAATGAGATACCACAGGAGGACATTGACCACCTGATCAGAAGCAAGCCTAGGCGCGTTTGGAGAATGCGTAGCACATCAGGGGGCATCCACACATTATTAAAGGTCAAAAGGCTTTAAAGCAGTGCAATCATTTTGAAATTTTTATCATTTACTTATTTTGCTTCATTAAGTACTTATACAAAATTTTATTAAAATAAAACCATTTAAACTGGGTGTTCGGATTTATATGTCACTTAGTGTAAAATAAAAAGATACATTCTTGAAAACAAGCTTTTACTTAGTTGTTCGTAAAATAAAATAAAAAGTTAAAACTATTTCTTCCTATTGGAAATATTGAAACGATATCGCAAGTTATCAAATAGAAGCATCTTACACAAATTTTCCATCCTGCTGACATGACGTAGCATGCTTTTATTGAAAGCACTTGACATCAGTGAGTCCTTTATTATCGTCTGAATATTTCCAATCTGGAAAGGCATCTTTAAATTTTCATTTGTTATATGAACAACTAAATAGGTTTTAAAAAATGAATAAATCTTTTTATTTCATTAATTTTTAACTTTTTCGTATCTACGATATCAAATAGCTAGTTTGGTAAATTTTATAATACTTTCTTATATTTTGTTAATAGGACCCCATAAAACTGTATTTATCTGTATTTTAAAATTTTGATAAATAAAATCAAATAAGAGTGAGTCGATATTCTGCGAGGATCACCATATGGAACTTGAAATGACGTTATTAGCTTATCGTGTTTTTCTCATTTGATACCCATATCATAGCAGTGACCACGGAAATTATAAATCGCCATTCAGCTTCGGCTGCCATATTGGATATAATATGACGTCACTTTTCTTGTTATGTCCCATCATCAAGCCCTTAAATTTGATACTCGTAGTATAGATGTCAATGTGGAAATTATAAATCGCCACTTTGCGATAGCTGCCATATGGGATTTAGAACATCATCACGTTGCTTGTTATGTTTCTCCGATAAAGCCCTCTGATTTATGACCCATATTATAGGGCTGACTATGATACTCATAAACGCCATCTTGGGGCGGTCGCCTTATTGGATATAGAATTACGTCACTTTGCTTATTGCGTTTCTTTCATCGAGACATTTTATTTGATACTATTTTTTTTTTTTTTTTTTTTTTTTTTATTACTGGCCTTAGGAGTTCTAGCCTATTCGGCCACGAGAGTGATATAAACATGCTCAAATTTATAATAAAACATATAGATCCGCTGCTAGCAATATTGTATAGATCCACATACATACAGGTAACAGGGCCCTACTCAAAACCAGGAAATTATAATAGAAGAACCAAGATTAGGGAGGAACGGGGATACACGTTTCACGTCAAGGTGCCGGTCATGACGACTTTAAAGACAGACAACACAGGCAACGGTTGGTAGGTTTAATAACAGATAGGCAAAAACACAGGTAAAAATAACTCAAGTCACACGACAATCTCACTGAATTCTAAATTCGTGTAACTCGTTAATTATATTTTCCGTCTGGCTCTCTTGAAGAAGTCCCATAGAGTTTTTCGAATTGATGAATTGTGAGTGCTTGAATACAGAAGGGAGGTTTGACTTTGAGGAAATGGAACACCAAGTGTAGCCAGCTCACTCATCATATAAACTGAAGCGGTTGAGTTGAATTTGCATTGGAACAACCAATGATTGATATCATCCCTATTCCCATCACAGCTACATGTATCCGATTCTTCGAGACCAAAGCGGTGCAGGTAAGCTTTTACTGTAGCATGTCCGACCAAACATCTGAAGTACATTGAGTGTACTCTCCTATTGACGTGGCTTCTGAGCTCTATTGGGGAGTCAGGGAGGTTTGGATAAATTTTGCAGTATTGGTTATTATTGTTGGTACAGAAATTAGTCCATTCCATTTGCCAGCTCTTTTTCATATTAAGCTTCCTCGACGAGGCTATGTCAGTTTTAGTTACGTATTGTTTTTCTTCTCCGGACGAGGCGGCTACCTTAGCCAGTCGATCTGCCATTTCATTCCCCTCAATTCTTGCATGACCTTTTATCCATATAAATGCCACCGATTTCCTTAGTTGTCTTAATTGAGACTCCTTCTCCAGTATTGAGACTATGGTTTTGTTGTGGTATATGTGAAAAGGCGCATTTTGTAATGCGCGTATAGCTGATTGCGAGTCTGACATAATAATGAATTTTTGGTATGACGGACGATTGCAGACTACCCACTCAAGAGCCAGATCTATGGCTGCTAGCTCAGCGGTGAATATAGAGCAGATGGGATCCAGTTTATACTTTAGAGACACTTTCTCGTCTTCTATAAATACAGCACACCCTACGCCTTGCTCAGATTTGGATCCGTCTGTGTAGATTCTACAAGGAGTCACAAATTTTTGTATTAGATCGTGGAGTAATTGCTTCATGATGGGAGGATTTTCAGCAACGGTGATGTATGTCTCTAAATTTGAGAATGAAATATTGTATTGAGACTTGAAAAATGGTATATTATCTCCTTCTATGTTGTACAGAGAGATGTTGGGGTATGCTTCAGCAAGTGTAGGAGAGTTTTTATTTTGCCATCATGGAAGCGTCAAGTTGAGGGTGGTTAGTTGAGCTACTTTTCTTGTGAGTGCAGTTTGGTCATTGAAGCTGCATTTTATAATGAACTTTTCTGCTAAGAATAACCTTCTCAAGTGTAATGGAGGTTCCTGACACTCTGCTAACAGAGTAGCTGTTGGAGTAGATTTCAGAGCCCCCAAGGCTAACCTTAGACCTTTATACTGTAGCCTATCGAGCTTGGCAAGGCGAGTCTTCGTAGCTGAACCATATAAGAAACATCCATAGTCTAATATCGATCTTGTATAGCATCTATAGAATAAGATATTTATTTTGGGATCAGCTCCCCATTTGTACCTGTTAACCGCTTTGAGGATGTTCAGGCTTTTTTCGCATTTGACAAGACAATTGTTTATTTGGTAATCCCAAGTCAGTTTGGTGTCCAGCGTGATACCCAAATAGGTGTAACTACTGTGAACCGGGATCGCAACGTTGGCCAATGGCAAGATGGTACATACAGGTAAACGGTGACGGGAAAAAAATACGACGGCAGATTTTGAGGGGGATATGTCAAGACCCTGGTTGAAGAAATAATCGTTGCAACTATGCATTATAACGTTGAGCATATCAATGCATTGTTGATACACTTTATTCTTAACATAGAAGCAGAAGTCATCGGCGTATTGCAAGACACTGCATTCCAACCCCGCAGTATGTAGGTCCTGAGTATATATGTTGAAGAGAAGGGGGCTTATAACGGAACCTTGTGGGAGGCCCTTATGTACTGTTCTCGGGCCAACGACTTGATTGTTACATCGGATATAGACCTTCCTGTTAATGAATAGATTGATTAGGACACATGCGTAGCTCTGAGGTAAGTTCAGTCTAAGCAATTTATCAAAAAGTATCTCGGGTATGACATTGTCATAGGCACTGGAGATATCTACAAAGAGAGATGCTAGGTAGTTATTTTCAGAAAAGGTTATCTGTATATCGCTCACTAGATGCGCTACGCAATCGACAGCCCCTTGTCCTCTACGGAAGCCAAACTGTGATGTTGGGGGAGTGTTGTTGCTTTCCAACCACCATTCAAGCCTTGCCTTCAAGATCCTTTCAAACGTTTTCAAAAGGCAAGACATTAGAGAGATTAGTCTACAGGAATTGGGGTCGCTTGCTTTGGGAATCGGAATGATGAAAGCGGCTTTTAGAGCATCGCAGTTTTCTCCTAGGATAAGAATACGGTTATAGATATTGCATAGAAAGTCTACAGCGACCTGCGGTAAATTTTCTATCATAAGGTAGTTGATACCATCAATTCCTGGAGATGTCAGCTTGGAGACCTTAATGTTTGCTTTCAGCTCTTCTGACGTGATTTGTGACAAAAGGAAGTGCTGTTCACTATTACTCTGCGGAGAGAAAAAAGGACAGGAGGCATACGGTGGAGCTATCTTGTTTAGAAGTGCTTCTACGCTAGATGCATCCTGTCTATGAAACTGTTTAGAGTTTTGAATTTTGTTGACCCGTTTCCAGATACTTGACGGGGAGGACTGTCTATTTAGGTTGCTGCAGAATTCAGCCCAACTAGATTTTACTTTTGTTCGGAATGACCGCTTACAGACGGCATCAGTTCTTTTATATTCCAAGTAGTTGGCAAAAGTGAGGTTCGACTTGTAGGTTTTAAAAGCGTTTTTCCTAACATTAACTAATGAAGAGCACTCGTCATCCCACCAGGGAGGAGATCTAGATTTGTTAGAGAAAGGTTTCAGAATTGTGCATGCTTGGTTGGCTGCGTTTGTGATTGAGCTTTGTAAAAAGACGATCATGTCATTAGTGTCCACAAATGTGGGCAAACCAGAAAAATACTTTATAATTTCTGTACGGTATAAGACCCAGTCAACATTTTTCATGGACCATTTGGAGGTCGGAGTTATGGGAGTGTTTTCTATACGTATATCATTGAAAGTAATCTTGATAGGAAAGTGATCGGAGCCGTACGTATCAGGAAGGGTAGACCAGGCGAAAGAAGAACATAGACCTGAAGATAGGATAGTTATGTCCACGACAGATTTAATTTGCCCTGGTGGGGTAATTCTTGTAGCTGAACCATCGTTGACCACTACAAAGTTTTGGAACGAGTCTAGTGCTTCTAGCACAGTATTACCTTCAGTAGAGCTTACTGGAGAACCCCACATACCATGATGGGCATTGAGATCCCCTCCTATGATACATTCGTACTTTATTTGTTTAAAGATATTTATGTAATCTGAAGCTAAGGCCTTAACATTTGGTGGTCTGTACATACTAACAACGGACAACTTTCTACCGTCATTGAACACGTTTATACCACATATCTCAATTTTTGAGTTGAAATTATTCGTGAAATTTATTGGTTCAAATTGAATAGATGTCGAGACAAAAATTGCAACCCCCCCGTAACCATCATCTCTATCTTTTCTAATAATATGAAATTTTTTAAAATTCGTATTAAACGACTTTTTGTACCAAGTCTCCGATACCAGGGCGATATCGAAGTCTTCTTCCACCTGTAGTTGTTCGAGTGAGTTTTTATTAGCACGCAAAGATCTGGCATTCCACTGAATGACCTTCAACCTTCTGGGAGCCATGAGCTAAGCGAAAACTTTTGCTAGGATGTTTTTAATTTTAGTGTCCAGTTCACTTTCACAGTTTGCTTGTGCTGTGTCATTAAAGGGTGTTTTTTCACTGATGTAATCTTGTAAACATTGCTGCAAGAGTTTTTTTATTGCGGCGGTTAGCTGGTTAATCAGCTGGTCGGACTCAGTGCAGGATTCCTGTGCTTCAGATTGGAAAACAGGCCCAGCACAAAATGAAGAATTATATTCTCTACGGATGGGAGCGAAATTAGGAGAAGTATCCCTGGTTTTTCTTTTTTTGGGAGGATTCGCAAAAGGGGATGGTTGAGGGCTTGAAGCTGCTTTGTGACTTGGTTGTTGAGTGGGAGAAGAAGTGGATTGAGATGAAGAGGTTAGAGGGGGAATGAATGAATGAATGAATCTTGAATTTTAGAGGCATCCCGGCCACCATAAGGAGCCAGTGCATAGGCCGCTTAAGCGGGCCCTTATGCACCTCTACAATACTTAAATCACAAGCCTCGCCCTTTTAGCGAAGTTGAGAATCGCCTTGAGTCCAAGCTCCTTTACGTCCTGAGGGTCCAAAGTAATGGACCCCAGTATAGTCTGCCTATAGTAGCTCAGAGCTTCACAGCGACACAAAACGTGCGCCGAGGTCTCTTCCTCTACTCCGCAGCGTTCGCATAAGGGATCCTCAGCCACCCCCATCACGTGCAGGTGCCGCCTTAACGTGTTATGGCCAGACAACAGTCCCACCAGCAACCTTAGGTTGGCTCTACCCAGAGATAGGCAGAAGCGTCCATCCTTAGCACTGGGCCCTTCAATGAGCTCTCGTGCCTGGCGGAGATGTCTAGAGATACTTCTCCATTTCTGAGAGTGTTGTCTTGCAACCCACGTCTCCATTTTCCTCCTAGCTTTATGCGCGGTTACTCCTAGAGCTGGCTCAGGACCAACGAGCTTGGGTTAGAGGGGGAAATTCTATATCTGAATTTATTAGAGGGGCAAATCTATTTTTTTGAATAATACTAGTATAGCACGGATTATCAATGACTTTCTCAGCCTCTTTAAATGAAATATTCAGATTTGCCATAGCCTCCTTAGTTCTTAGCTGTTTTTTGTACTCAGGACAGTCACGAAATGTTGAATCATGACTGTTGTTTTTGCAGTAAACGCAGTATACGTTGCAAGCGTGATTATTATCTGTATCTGCAGAACCGCACTTTCTACACCTTCTACTACTCTTACATTGAGATGCTGAATGCCCGTATCGCAAGCATTGGAAGCATTGCATAACTGGGCTAATATACGTTTCAACCGGGCATCTGACTTTGTTTATGAAAACAAATTGTGGCAGCAGCTTACCTGCAAAAGTGACAACTACAGTTTGTGTAGGAACCCGGAGAGAAGATTCTCCATTATTAACGGTTCTAGTCATTCTGTACGCTTTTTTCACAAGGATGTTAGATTTTATGATATTAACTAGTGAATTTTCATTAATAGCCGTATCAACACCTCGTATTAAACCACGCTTCTCTGTAAGGTGGTTGGGAATGTACGCTACAAGATTATTAGCTTCAAATAAGGAATCTTCTATGAGTTTATTGGCAGTATCACCCGAATCAAGTTCAATTTTTATGCGATTACGACCTACCGTGCTAATTTCTAAAATGTGTTTTTCATATTCAGCTAATGCTGCTAATTTTTCTCCCAGCTTCATTGGGTGAAGTCGACCCAAATTTAAGTCAAGGTGTTCTACAAATACAAAGTACGGGCCTGTGTCACTGTTTCTAAATCTGTTGTCCGTATTTTTTGGGCGACTTTTTCGCGATATAGCCGTATCAGTAGAGAGAACATAATCGGGTTTTTCTGTAGATTTGCTAGTGCATGCAGTATCATTCTTTATAGGTTGTATAGGGGTATGTATGTTGTCATGATCACTATCAACGAATATAACATCTTCGCAATACACATTGCTAGGAGTTTGCTGCGGACTATCTTGCGTCAGAGGCGGCGGATCCCCGCCGCCTGGAATGTTGTAGCCACCAGACATCTGTTTACACAGAGCTGGGGCAAAAAATCTGCATGCGACCCAGGAAAAAAAAACGAATAAAGTCTACTTACAGTAATTCAGCAAGAAAAGTATGTGTGTAAAACCCAAACCAATAGATAAGAAATCTGTAATTGATCCGCACCACGCTCTAAGGAGACACGACCATATACGACTTATCCGGACCGTGGTTGGAACAAGACTTATTTGATACTAATATCCTAGGGCTAACTGCGATGAATGCAAATCGCCATACTGAGGCTGTCGTCATATTGGATTAAGAGAGACGTCCCTATATATCATAGCAGTGACCACGGAAATTATAAATAGCCAGTCAGTTTCGACTGCCATATTAAATATAGAATGACGTCACTTTTCTTGTTATGTCCCATCATGAAGCCCTTACATTCGATACTCGTAGTATAGACGTCACTGTGGAAATTATAAATCGCCATTTTGCGATAGCTGTGATATTGGATTTAGAACATCATCACGTTGCTTGTTATGTTTCTCCAATAAAGTCCTCTGATTCATGACCCATATTATAGGGCTGACTATGATACACA